GGGCTCTTCTTGGTGGGGGCTGGGCTTGGAGCGGGCACCAGTGGCACTAGGAGAATGTTGCATCCATCCCAAATTTCACTGCTGCTAACAGCCCCAGCTCTTCCTGGTGTGTGGGTGGAGGCGGGCCATTGAGCCGGGGCTGCACTGGGTGGCTGGTGGTGGTGGCGCTGGGAGTGCAGTGGCAGTGAAATTTGGGGTGGATGCAGCATCCTCCCAGCACCACCGGCACCTGCTCTGAGCCCAGCTCCCACCAAGAAGAGCCCCGCGCAGCCCTGGCCGTAGCTTGCCTTGTGCAGATCCAGGAGACTGTGCTACCCCATGCCCTTCTTGAGGGGGCGGGGTGCAAGCAGCGGCAGGAGCCGCCCCCCACCCCCCAAAAAGATGTGGCTTTGCTCCCCCCCACCCTGCCTGGGCAGCGCCTGCCTGTTCCCTCATCACGGTGGGGGTGTTAATCTGCCCCCGACATACGCTTTTCACTACACCTAACTAACCAGCTGGAGGCAGCTGTATTGGAAATCGGATTGGTATTGGCTGATAGGCCTCTTTTAAAGATCGGCTATCGGTATTGACCCCCCAAAATCTCTATCAGTGCACCCCTATTTCCTTTGTTTTGTGTATACCTGAAGGTTTGTATGTTTAAATACTTCAGTTTCAACTTTTATGTTGTTTGTTAGCTGCTGGTTTGCTAGTCATTTTATTTTTAATCCATGTAGTGATGCTTTGAGTCTGTCAGTTTAAGCTTCTGAAACAGCTTGGTCAGTCCTCAGAGCAGCATAAAAGGAAACTGGAGTACTAAAGTACATGATGAATATTCTTCAGATAGAATATGCAACACCTTAGCAATTAGTTTATCTAAATGAGGAAAATATTTTAATTGTTCTGGAGAGTTCTAGTTTTACATAGAAATACCTCGGTGAACAAAATGAAGGAATTACTCATGCTATATACAGTGATGTAAACAACCACTTAGGGGCAATCAGCACGGGTTCATCAGTGGCAGGTCCTGTCAGACCAATCTGGTGGCTTTTTATGATCAGATCACCAGATCATTAGATGCAGGGGTAGCAGTGGACATAGTCTTCCTGGACTTCCGGAAGGCTTTTGACACTGTCTCTCAC